AGCATTTTGGGAGGCTGAGGCAGGTGTATCACCTGAGGTCAGGAGTTTGAGACCAGCCTGGCCAACATGGTGAAACCCCATCTCTACTAAAAATATGAAAAATTAGCTGGGCATGGCTGTGTGCGCCTGTAGTCCCAGCTACTTGGGAAGCTGAGGCAGGAGAATTGCTTGAACCCGGGAGGCAGAGGTTGCAGTGAGCTGAGATTGCGCTGTTGCACTCCAGCCTGGGCAACAGCGCGAGACTCTGTCTCCCCACAGTTCCCTCCGCCCCAAAAAAAACCCTGATCTCAGGTGATCGGTCCACCTCGGCCTCCCAAAGTGCTAGGATTACAGGCATGAGCCACTGCACCTGGCCTTATTTTGTATTCTGTTGCTACAAATAATCTTACTTTAGGATAACAGTATTCAGTATCCTTTCATATTCATTTATTTATTTATTTATTTTTGAGACAGGGTCTCACTCTGTCACCCAGGCCAATGTGCAGTGCTGCAATCTCTGCTCACTGCAGTCTCTGCTTCCTGGGCTCAGTTGATCTTCCTGCTTCAGCCTCCTCGGAAGCCGGGACTACAGGCACTCATACCACCATGCCCGGCTAATTTTTGGTTTTTTTGTAGAGACAAGGTTTCACTATGTTGCCCAGGCTGGTCTCAAACTCTTGGACTCAAGTGATCCACCCACCTCGGCCTCCCAAAGCGCTGGGATTACGGGTGTGAGCCACTGCGTCCAGCCTCCTTTCATATTTATTTCATTTGATTTGCAGGACAGTATGTATAAGGGGTGTGCATGTGTTTATACGTGTATACACATACACACATATAGACACCTTATATTAGGCCGGGCACAGTGGCTTACGCCTGTAACCCCAGCACTTTGGGAGGCCAAACGTGACGGATCACATGAGGCCAATCTGAGACCAGCCTGACCAACGTGTTGAAACCCCGCCTCTACTAAAGTATAAAACTTAGCCTGGCATGGTGACACGTGTCTGTGATCCCAGTTACTCAGGAGGCTGAGGCAGGAGAATTGTTTGAACCTGGGAGGTGGAGGTTGGCATGAGCTGAGGAGATCGTGTCACTGCACTCTATCCTGGGCGACAGAGCAAGACTCCATCTCAAAAAAAAAAAAAAAAGAAAAAATAGGCCAGGCATGGTGGCTCACTCCTGTAATCCCAGCACTTTGGGAGGCCCAGGTGGGCAGATCACAAGGTCAGGAGATCGAGACCATCCTGGCCAACATGGTGTAACCCCGTCTCTAATAAAAATACAAAAACTAGCTTGGCATGATGGCGCACACCTGTAGTCCCAGCTACTTGGGAGGCTGAGGCAGGAGAATCGCTTGAACCCGGGAGGCAGAGGTTGCAGTGAGCTGAGATCATGCCACTGTACTCCAGCCTAGCGACAGAGCAACACTCTGTCTCAAAAAAAATATATGTATATATAAAATATATATAATACCTCTATATATTATATATACGTTATATTAATATATGAGGCAGGTCTCATTTTTCTCTACTTGACAGTTGAAGAAACAGAAAAACTACAGCAGGGTTACTTGTTTAAATGTGTACATTTATGGGTGGGCGCAGTGGCTGGTGCCTGTAATCCCAGCACTTTGGGAGGCTGAGGTTGGAGGATTGCTGGTGCCTGCCCAGGAGTTAAAGACCAGCCTGGGCAACGTGTCCAAACCCCGTGTCTACCAAAAATACAAAAATTAGTCAGGCGTGCTAGTGTGTGCCTGTGGTCCCAACTATTTGGGAGACTGAGGTGGGAGGATTGCTGGAGCCTGGGAAGGCAAGGCTGTAGTGAGCTATGATCATGCCACTGTACTCCAGCCTGGGCAATAGAGCAAGACCCTGTCACAAAAAATAATAATAAAAATAATAATTTATGTGGGCCGGGTGCAGTGGCTCACACCTGTAATCCCAGCATTTTGGGAGGCTGAGGCAGGTGTATCACCTGAGGTCAGGAGTTTGAGACCAGCCTGGCCAACATGGTGAAACCCCATCTCTACTAAAAATACAAAAATTAGCCAGGCATGGTGGTGGGCGCCTGTAATCCCAGCTACTCTGGAGGCCGAGGTAGGAGAATTACTTGGGCTCGGGAAGCGGAGGCTGCAGTGAGCCAAGATCACACCATTGCACTCCAGCCTAGGTGACAGAGTGAGACTCTGTCTCAAAATAATAATAATAATTTATGTGAATGCACTTCGGAAACATAAAAGCAGCAGTCCCCAGCCTTTTTGTGAAAGGCAGGTTTTCTACAGATGGTGGGCGAGGGGATGGTTTTGGGATGAAACTCTTCCACCTCAGATCATCAGGCATTAGATTCTCATAGGGAGTGGGCAACCTAGATCCTTCGCATGTGCAGTTCACAATAGGGTTCGTGCTTCTATGAGAATCAAATGCTGCTGATGATCTGACAGGAGATGGAGCTCAGGCCTCAGTGCTTGCTTGTTTCCTGCTCACCTCCTTTTGTACGACCCGGTTCCTAATAGGCCACAGTCTGGTACTGGTCCATCTGGGGATTTGGGGACCTCTGCATTAAAGCATCATCCTGTACACGTAATGTATTATGGATCTATGCATTTGTGTGTGTGTGTGTTGTGTGTGTGTGTGTGTTTTGAGTTGGAGTCTTGCTGTGTCGCGTAGGCTGGAGTGCAATGGCACGATCTCAGCTCACTGCAACCTTCGCCTCCCGAGTTCAAGCAGTTCTCCCTGCCTCAGCTTTCTGAGTAGCTGGGATTACAGGCACCCACCACCACGCCTGGCTAATTTTTATATTTTTAGTAGAGATGGGGTTTTGCCGTGTTGGCCAGGCTCATCTCGAACTCCTGACCTCAGGTGATCCACCCTCCTCGGCCTCCCAAAATGCTGGGATTCCAGGCGTGAGCCATCGCACCCAGCCGGACCTGTGCGTTTTGTAGTCACAGATTTGGAATCGTTATTACTGGTAGTTATGTGCACTGAATAAAAGAATCGTAAATCTCCAACAACTCCTCTTCTCTGCTTTTCCTCTTGTCTTTTTCTTTCCTCCTCCCAACTATGTTCAAATCTACTAGACCCTGTGTGTGTGCTTCCTTAGCTGGTGAGCTCCCTCCTTAGAAAGTAGTCTTACTTGCCTAGCACTGAAAACTTAGTGTTTAATGGAGTTGTCTCATCCTCTCCAACCAACTGCCAGATCCATCTGTCCAATCTCCTTGCCAAGTGGAGGTAGTTCTCCTGACTCTCCTTTCTCTTCCTTGTTTCTGTTACTAGAGTACTCCTGATTGTGACATCACATTCATCCCCTGGGTGATGGAGCTTGTCACTGGGAAGGAAGACTCAGTCGGAGAATAGCCAACAAGATGGGTTACTGGGAGAATCTCTTCAGTGGCACTGAGTGGAGGCATCAGGGGGTTGGAGCCTTGTGAACAGGGAACCTGCCCCCCAACACTTGAAAGGTAAAGAGCTTTGATTCAGAATCCCATTCCAGGCCTTAACCCTCTTCTCTGTCACTTGGGATTCCTTCTGCCCTTGAAAGCCCAGTTCTTAAAACTTCTTTCTGCAGAAAGCTTTCTGTGATTAATCTGTACCATTTGTTCTTTTCTGTATATTTTACAATTTACATTAATTATTAGCTTTTACTTGTTAAGTATTTGCTTAATACGTTTATGTGTTTTTTTCCTATGTACTCATTGGGCTCAAGCCTATACCTTAGTTTGAGGACAAGGATTATGTGTTTCTTCTTCTTTTTTTTTTTTTTGAGACAGAGTCTTGCTCTGTCACCCAGGCTGGAGTGCAGTGGCACAATCTCAGCTCACTGCAACCTTCACCTCCTGGGTTCAAGCAGTTCTCCTGCCTCACTCTCCCAAATAGCTGGGATTATGGCTAATTTTTGTGTTTTTAGTAGAGATGGGGTTTCACCACGTTGGTCAGGCTGGTCTCGAACTCCTGACTTCAGGTGATCCTTGGCCTCCCAAAGTGCTGAGATTATAGATATAAGCCACTGCGCCCAGCCACGTATTTCTTCTTTATGTCTCTATTGATAAGGAGATTATGTATTTAGGATGATGAAGTTTGGGGTAACCACACAAATAGTGCTTGGAGCTGCTGACCAACTGGGAGGTCATTGCTGGCCTTTAATGCCTGGCAGGCCTCTTTTTAGACATTAGATGAGTTCTTGAAGAATTATATGCCTTCTGGATTATTTTGTAAATTGAATAAATTAAAACTAAAGAGACCTAACTTTAAAATCCCCATGTGGTTAATTCAGTGTGATCCACGGCATTCTGGAATTAGACAGAACCTTAGAACCACTCATCTCACAAGTAAGGAAACTGAGTTCTGAAGAGGGGAAGTGATTTCAGTCTAAGGGTTCTGTTGCTTAAGTGAAAAAGATCTCTTCCATTCACGTAAAAAGTTAAGAGCTGCTTGGAGAGAGCAAGGTCAGTTAGTGTTAGAGCCAGGATACCTTTTATAACATAATTACCCATTAATTTATCTTTTTTTTTTTTTTTGAGACAGTAGTCTCGCTCTGCCGCCCTGCGCTGGGAGTGCAGGGTGGCGCATGGGTTGCTGCTCACCTCAAGCTCGCTCCGGGTTCACATTCATTCTCACTGCCTCAGACTTCCCAAGTAGCTGGGACTACAGGCCGCCCGCCCCACGCCCAGCTAATTTTGTCTTTTTTTTTTTTTAAGGGTAGGGACAGGGGTTTCCCATGTAGCCCCAGGAATGGTCTTGATCTCCTGACCCATGATCCACGCCGCCTCGGCCCGCCCAAAGTTACGGGGTTTCAGGTGGTGAGTCCGTCTTTCGTTGGCCGAATGTTTGATTTTTTTTTTCCTGTTTTTTTTTTTTGAGATGGAGTCTTGCTCTGTCGCCAGGCTGGAGTGCAGTAGTGCAATCTCAGCTCACTGCAGTTTCTACCTCCTGGGTTCAAGTGATTCTCCTGCCTCAGCCTCCCAAGTAGCTGGGACTACAGGCACGTGCCATCACACCCAGCTAATTTCTTGTGTTTTTATTAGAGACAGGGTTTCACCATGTTGGCCAGGATGGTCTCAATCTCTTGATCTCATGATCCACCTGCCTCGGCCTCCCAAAGTGCTGGGATTACAGGCGTGAGCCACCAGTCCGGCCTATTTTTGTTTTATATGCTCAATCTTAGAATCTTAGAATCATAGAACTTATAGAGCACCTTAGAACTTATGTAGCCCAGGATGCTTCATTTCATGTAGGGAACTGAGGCCCAGAGAGGCCAAATAAGTTGTCCAAGGTCATACATTTGGTTAGTGAAAGCTAGAACTAGGACTCGGGTTTCTGGATTCCTAACAGTTTTTTTTTTTTCCCCAGAACTATTCACTGGGACACAGGGAGATATGATGAAATGTTTTAGAGACACCTGTGAGATCCTTTGCCAGCTAATTTTTTGACCACATTGAAGTTTCTAGGAGTCATCTGTTTCCTTAGATCAGGGCAGGTTATGGGGCCCTTTCTCTATGTGTTTAATTGTAGTGATCAGAGCTGGAGAATCCTCAGACCTCTGCACCTTTGTTGTATTCAGGGCATAGAGGAGAGAGAATGGTAGATGGGAGACTGCATACTTATACCTGACTTTTGCCCTTATGTTTTTGCCACAAAATTGATGGCAGCATGCCCAGCTACCCAAAATGTAAATCATGGGTTAGAGTGACTTCTCTAATGGTTCTCTAAGCATGTGTGCATGAATGAATGTGCATGGTTTCATCTATGCTTATGGGTTCAAGAAATCCTGAATAAGTGTGGATAAATGTCCTTTAGGAAAAATGTGAATTCCTAGCTTTCTCTAGTGGGAGACCAGAGAAAACAACCACAACAGTAAGTTAAAAAGGCATAGAAAGGGGTCTGATAAGGCTCTTGCATTCCTTCATAAAAATTTTTTTTTGAGACGGAGTCTCGCTGTGCCTCCCAGGCTGGAATGCAGTGGCGTGATCTCGGCTCACTGCAAGCTCCGCCTCCCAGGTTCACGCCATTCTCCCGCCTCAGCCTCCCAAGTAGCTGAGACTACAGGCGCCCGCCACCACGCCCGGCTAGTTTTTTGTATTTTTAGTAGAGACGGGGTTTCACCATGTTAGCCAGGACAGTCTCGATCTCCTGACCTCGTGATCCACCCGCCTCGGCCTCCCAAAGTGCTGGGATTACAGGCTTGAGCCACCGCGCCCGGCCTAAATTATTCTATTATAATGCTGACCGGGAATAAAGAGATATCCCAGTATAACACTGAGGAGGTAAAGTAGCATAGTTACCTGTTTTGGATTTGGCCTATGGAATAGGAGACTGGAGGTGCAGTTTTCATTTTGGGTTTAGTATGGTCAGATAAGGGAGGTTGGCAGAACTCTTGTAAGGCCTCAAGGGACACTTCAGTGGTACTTCAATTCAGCTCCCCAGGTTTGAGTAAAACCTCCTAAGGCCTTTTCCTATCCTACACCCAAGGACAATATCCAGGAAACCGCTTCCAGTGGCTGTGGTCACTGGCTATGACTCTTGAGGTCCCTGTAATTTCAGGTTTACTAAGGGCTACTGCCCCAGGGCAGTGAGCAGCTGAATTATTTTGAGGCATCCCCCCTGGAATGATAACCTTTCCCTATGACAACCCACTGCAGTGTCGAGAATCCCAGAGATTAGAAGGAATAGTCAAGTAAACCTAACCTGATAGATTGAGATTGTCTGCCTGAGGGCAGTGCAAGGCAGCCTAGTCTAGAGCTGACTTCCAAGGTTGCGTGTAACCATGTCAACATTGGTTTCCCATAGATGACAAATAGGAAATACCCTAACCAGATTAGAAATCTAAATTTCCCCTTAATTCTTAAGGCCACATCCCTGAAAGGGTACAGTTATAAAAAGGTGAATAAAGCAGAACCTCCAGAAAGACAAAGAGGGGTTTAGATTTAGGAATAACATTGTTTAGCATTTCTGCAGGTTTGAAAATACTGACTTTATGATGGGAACCTTACAGCTCCTAATTTGGCTGGTGGGTTCCCATACTCTGTGGCCATCTCTGCACCAACTCAGGCAAGTTCTTTTCTGTTTATTTTGGGGGACATGGGATCTCCTGAAATCCCATTAAGAAAAATTTTCAGAATTTGTGTTCCTCCTCAAGACAATATTATTAGCATTGCTTTAAAATGAAAAGACGGCTGGACACAGTAGCTCACGTCTATAATCCCAGTACTTTTGGGAGGCTGAGGTGGGAGGATCGCTTGGGCCCAGTAATTCAAGACCAGCCTGGGCAACATGGTGAGACCCATCTCTATTAAAAATATATATATATACACCAGCTGGTATGGTGGCACACACCTGTAGTCCCTGCTACTCAAGAGGCTGAGTTGGGAGGGTCGTTTGAGCCTGGGAGATTGAGGCAGCAGTGAGCCATGATTGTGCCACTGCACTCCAGCCTGGATGACAGAATGAGATCCTGTCTTTTAAAAAAAAAAAAAAGAAAAGAAAAAATATTCAATGAAACATAGTACAAGCTCTAGGCCTATTTTCTTTCTTTCTTTCTTTCTTTTTTTTTTCTGGAGACAGTCTCTCTCTGTCATCCAGGCTGGAGTACAGTGGCTTGATCTTGGCTCACTGCAGCCTCTACCTCCCAGGTTCCCGTCATTCTCCTGCCTCAGCCTCCCCAGTTGCCGGGATTACAGGCATGCACCCGCCACCACGCCCGGCTAATTTTTGTATTTTTAGTAGAGACGGGGTTTCGCCGTGTTAACCAGGATGGTCTTGATCTCCTGACCTCGTGATCCACCCGCCTCGGCCTCCCAAAGTGCTGGGATTACAGGCGCGAGCCACCGTGCCCGGCCTCTAGGCCTATTTTCTACATTACCTCATAGCAACAAGGAGAAGAGTTTAATTTTTTTGTTTTGTTTTTGAGACAGAGTCTCACTCTGTCATCCAGGCTGGAGTGTAATGGCCTGATCTCGACTCACTGCATCCTCCGCCTCCTGGGTTCAAGCAGTTCTCCTGCCTTAGCCTCCTGAGTAGTGGGGATTACAGGTGCCCACCACTATGCCTGGCTAATTTTTGTGTTTTTAGTAGAGATGGGGTTTCACCATGTTGGCCAGGCTGGTCTTGAATGCCTGACCTCAAATGATCTGCCCACCTCGGCCTCCCAAAGTGCTAGGATTACAGGCATGAACCACCGGGCCTGGCCTAGATTAATGTTATTTTAATTGTTGCTCCTTACACCAAGGATAACTGTTTTATTTCCAGAGACAGGGTCTCACTCTGTCACCCAGCCAGCACCAGCATGGCTCACTGATGCCTCAACCTCCTGCGTTCAAGCAATCCTCCCACCCAGGAGTTCCAGACTAGCCTGTGCAACACAGTGAAACCTTGTCTCTACTAAATATAATAAATTAGCTGGGTGTGGTTGGCAGCACCTGTGGTCCTAGCGACTCAGGAGACTGAGTCAGGAGAATTGCTTGAG